AACGTCTGTTCGACGTCGAATACTCCTACCTAGTAGTCGTTGCAGCGGCAAACAATATCTAAACTAATATTTAACTCGACTATCGGTGGTAAAAGAGTTGCTTACTCGACGCGTGGTGACAAGAAAAGAGAGCTTCCGCTTGCGGGTTTGCGTATTTATCGCGCGGCGCCTGTGGAAATAATATAAATGAATATATGAATAATATAAATAAATGAATGAATGTTAGTTTTGTAATATTTTCTGCTAAATCATTGTTGTTAGATGGCACGAGATTCTTTGTTTTATTGCTGCAAAAGTAGATGATATCTCTGTCTTTGCTTTGGATCTAATTTGCAGTTCCACATAGAAGCGATCATAACATTCCAACATTTCCCTTTTGTGTTCTTCTTGCTAAGTCAACTCAAAATCATTCATTATCTCTCCTGGCATCTTCTTTTTGAACCTCACTCTTCTTTTAACTGGAATTCCATATTCTTCTGACTTTACTACAGCTCGCACAATTGCATGATCTACCAGTTCTTCTTGCAGAAAAATTCGCAGCTCTTCTAATCTCATTATAACTTTGTCAAAAGCTAAACCCTTTGAAGATATTGCGGCGCAGAATCAATTTTCCGTAGTGTATCCGAACAGAAGTGTAGATAGCAAAGAAAAGTGAAATTACAGATCGCTGGTAAAAGACATTGTGCTGCTCTTCTTGTGGCTGTTTTCCTGTGGTGTACTAAGTGATTCAATTGCAGCGAGAATTTTGTCAAAGTTTTCTTTTACTGGTAAGACTGCAGTATAATGAGCACTCCAACGTGTTGTAACAAGTATTTTGAGTATGTTTAATTAAAACATCCCAACGATGGGTCGAAGCAGCGAAGAGGGTATATAGTTGTTCAATTGTTCCGAAAAAAGTTACAGAAAATGCATTTACACTAAAGGAATGCTGTCCACATAAGTTAAGCGAATGATCTATGCATCCGTTGAATAGAGCTGTCTTATCTTTTTCTTTGATAATAGCTTGTTAACCTCCATGAATTCCATCCATAGTTGCTGCATTATCGTAGCCTTGGGCACGGCACATCATAATATCTAATCCATCATTATCAATTTTTTAAGTATTTCAGAACTGAGATCAGCTGCTGTTTTGCCGTTCAAAGGGGACAATCTTAAAAATACTTCCCGTACTTCAGCCTTTCCGTCGCTGCATTTTACATATTGAATAACGTCTGACATTCGATCAGTGTGAGATATATCTGTTGTACTATCAAACATAATTCCAAAATACTTCGCACATTGTATTTATAATACAAGTTTTTCTTTTACA